AGGAAGTTGCTTAAATGTTATCAACCAGCCCAAACTACTTATTTATTAAAATACTTATATCCCACTTTTCACTGTGACTCAAGGCAGCTTACAAATCATACTGAAAAGCATAATAGGGGTTTGCAAAAAAAAAAAAAAGTTTTTTCCCAGCTCCATTATAACCTATGGGGCCATTATAGTCAACGGACCCCATAGGCTATAATGGAGAATTGACCCAGGTGTATTGGGGCTCTGGGGGGCTGTTTTTTGAGGTAGAAGCACCAGATTTGCAGCATAACTGCTGGTGCCTCTCTTTAACCCCTCCCCCCAAATTTCAAAAAGATTAGACTGTGGGGTCCAATTCTACGGGCCCCAGAAGGAGGTGCCCCCATTCTCCATTGTTTCCAATGGAAGAGGAAAATGTCTTCTCAGTTTACTTGTGAGCTGAAGCTATACTCCCTGAGCTACCACCTAAAATTTTGTGTGCCAGTGCCCCCAACACAGCTTAGAGGGAACTCTGATCCCAAGGCTTTTATCTGAGTCAGCAAGGGTCAGCTGAACTCCATCGAAAGTGGGGAGGGCAATGTCTTTCAAGGCCCCCGCCTTCCCAACTAGCATTATCCCTGTCTTTTCAGGGTTGAGTATCAATTTGTTCAGTTTTGGCCAGTTGACCACTGCAGGCAGGCAGCAATTCAGGACCTCTGCCACATCACCAGGAGATTTGGATAAGGATGTTAAAGTAAACAGAATACTGATTTTTAAAAATTGCCTCTACTTTTCAAAACGTAGTTTTCAAGGTGATCCATAAAAATGCATTAGGCCATCTATATGGGAAGGTAACAGCATTCCGTGCGCCTTGGTGTTTAGTCATGCCGGCCACATGACCACGGACAGCGCTGGCTCTTCGGCTTTGAAACGGAGATGAGCACCGCAACCCTAGAGTCGGATTCGACTGGCTTTCGAGCAAGGGAACCTTTACCTTTTTATATCTAATTCTCAAGTTGCCCCCTGGTGTGCGGATACTTAAATCCGCACATCGGGGGGGACCTGGGGGGGAGGGAGAGGTTTGTGCGCACGTGCAGCAAGACAGATTACCTCTACTAGTATTAAGGCCAAATGGTCATTATGGCTAGATGCTTCTGCTGACCCAGAAGGAACTTTACAGACAGCACCTTTAATTGGTTTACATACCTTATATATTTACCATTAAGTAGTTGAAGGATCTTTAAAACTGGCCTGAACTCCATTTATTTTTATTTTTAATTATTTGAATGATAAACTCAAAATGAGCAAATAACTTGTAATGGCAATCCTTGATTCACCACAGACTCAATGATCATTTTGTAATTGTTTCCTTCATAATTTACTAAGAACTGCATTGTATTTTATTTCAATTTTTGATAAACAGTTTATTTGTTTAAAAAAAATGTATGAGGCCCTTCTGGGCGGTTTAGCGGCGAGAGGAGCGGCGCAACGGTGTCTTGCAACGATGGCGGTGGATCTTGGTGCATGGGGCGGCCCGCTAAGCCTCACTGAGGTGGATGAGAAGCCGGCCAAGCCTCTGCGGGTCCGCTATGGGGGAGTGGAGATCGACGAGCTGGGCAAAGCGCTCACTCCCACCCAGGTAATAGGAGCAAAGGCGTTCCAGTGCGCGCGCGGCCTTTCTTTTTTTGCAAAAAAACCCCCCGCGCCCGGGCCTTGTTGTCCCCCCCCCGCGTGCTCTGCATGGAGCTCCCCCGCTTCTCCCCCCCCACACGATTTTCGCGGGTCCCCTTTCTTGTTGGAACTGAACATCGTGAAGACAAACGCAGCCACAAAATGAAGCCGCCTGGTGCCCCAAAGTCCCCCTGGAGAGAACAGTCTTTATAATAATTATAAGTGCCATCAAGTTGCAACTGACTCATGGACCCCTCAGTCTTTTACCTGCTTCCTAAGAGCTCAGGTGTGTCTCCTTCAGTTCCTCTCCTTCCGTATCCATAACATGCAACTTGCCGGCTCATGCAGCCTCAGGAAGGAAGAGAGGGTTTAATCCTTCAGCCTCCTGCCTGGTTTCACTCTATACAAAACTGGATGCTCTAGTTTGTTGATAGTGTTTTAAAGGGAAAGAAGTATATTTTTAAATGCAGTGGGTTTTTTTCTCCTTTCATGTGTTAATGACAAAGTTGGGGGCCTGGTTTCCAATAGGAAAAAGGAGTGGAAGTCACAGTCGAGGACCCCCCCCCTTTCTTTGACCTCTTGCCCAGGGGCACATGGGAGGCTGCATAAGCCTACCTGGCTGCCTTCCCCAGATGGAAACTTGATCTCAAAAACGAGAACCCCCCTGCAGAACCAAGCGAGGCAGGGGGAGCCTGGTGGGATTTAGCAAACTGGGGGTGGGGTAAAGCTGATGGTTGCCGACTCCAGGCTGGGAAATCCCTAGAAATTTGGGGTGGTGCCTAGGGAGGGTAGAGTTTGAGGAGGAGAAGGAGCTGTGTGGGGTTGAGATGCCCCAGAGTTTGCCTTCCTATGCTGCCATTTCCCCCCCAAGGGAACTGACAGAGATCAGTTGTAATTCCGGGAGAAAACCAGGTCCTACCTGGAGGTCAGCAAAGCTAGCAGAGCCTGAAGACATCTGGCAAGTTGGGGAGAAGCCAGATGGCCGTAGGGCTCTTGGGGAGCTGGCCTTTCCTAGCTTGGCAGACTCAGGGGCAATGTGTGTGTGCTAGTCAGGCAGCTGAAATACCGCCCGGCCAGCCAGCATCATAGCAAAGCCTCTTGGTGTCTCCCCAAGCACACTCCTCACCTTCCTTCTGTGCTTCCAGGTCTACATTTCTGAGATCTCTCATCCTGGGGTCCGAGGAGCTCTGGGTTCCTGCCCGCAGGTCATGGCCGTCTTGGGTGCCCTCGTCCTCTACGCTTTAGGCAAGTATGGTGTGCAAATCTCCGCAGGTGGGACAAAGACCGGCAGGCAGGGGGCTCCCCTCTTTATGCGCCCGCTCTGCCGGCGCCTCTCCCCATAAGCCTACCTGGCTGCCTTCCCCAGATGGAAACTTGATCTCAAAAACGAGAACCCCCCTGCAGAACCAAGCGAGGCAGGGGGAGCCTGGTGGGATTTAGCTTCAGTTCCTCTCCTTCCGTATCCATAACATGCAACTTGCCGGCTCATGCAGCCTCAGGAAGGAAGAGAGGGTTTAATCCTTCAGCCTCCTGCCTGGTTTCACTCTATACAAAACTGGATGCTCTAGTTTGTTGATAGTGTTTTAAAGGGAAAGAAGTATATTTTTAAATGCAGTGGGTTTTTTTCTCCTTTCATGTGTTAATGACAAAGTTGGGGGCCTGGTTTCCAATAGGAAAAAGGAGTGGAAGTCACAAAGTCGAGGGACCCCCCCCCTTTCTTTGGCCTCTTGCCCAGGGGCACATGGGAGGCTGCACAAGCCTACCTGGCTGCCTTCCCCAGATGGCAGGAGAGGGGCAGTATTCATCCAGACTGTTTGAACCCTTGGAAGGAAGTTACCCTTTGGAAACTTTTGATCTCAAAAACAAGAGCCCCCCTGCAGAACCAAGCGATGAGGCCGAGGCAGGGGGAGCCTGGTGGGATTTAGCAAACTGGGGGTGGGGTAAAGCTGATGGTTGCCGACTCCAGGCTGGGAAATCCCTAGAAATTTGGGGTGGTGCCTAGGGAGGGTAGAGTTTGAGGAGGGGAAGGAGCTGTGTGGGGTTGAGATGCCCCAGTTTGCCTTCCTATGCTGCCATTTCCCCCCCAAGGGAACTGACAGAGATCAGTTGTAATTCGGGGAGAAAACCAGGTCCTACCTGGAGGTCAGCAAAGCTAGCAGAGCCTGAAGACATCTGGCAAGTTGGGGAGAAGCCAGATGGCCGTAGGGCTCTTGGGGAGCTGGCCTTTCCTAGCTTGGCAGACTCAGGGGCAATGTGTGTGTGCTAGTCAGGCAGCTGAAATACCGCCCGGCCAGCCAGCATCATAGCAAAGCCTCTTGGTGTCTCCCCAAGCACACTCCTCACCTTCCTTCTGTGCTTCCAGGTCTACATTTCTGAGATCTCTCATCCTGGGGTCCGAGGAGCTCTGGGTTCCTGCCCGCAGGTCATGGCCGTCTTGGGTGCCCTCGTCCTCTACGCTTTAGGCAAGTATGGTGTGCAAATCTCCGCAGGTGGGACAAAGACCGGCAGGCAGGGGGCTCCCCTCTTTATGCGCCCGCTCTGCCGGCGCCTCTCCCCGCCGGCCATGGGTAAGGAGAAGTCGCTGGAGAGGGGCCAGGCGGGCGGGACACGGAGGGGAGCCTCGGGGATCTCCAGATCGGCGCTGGCTTTTGGCGGGGGAGGCAAACTTTGGCGCCCCCATCCAGGGCCTCCCGCTCTAGGCGAGTGCCTAGTTGGCCTAGCGGGGGAGCTGGCCCTGCCGGCAGGCCTCATTCTGGGTGGCTGGCAGGTCTTGAGGTTCCCCAGTTGAGGTGCAGCAGTCTTTGAGAGGTCCTTCTCTTTCTCAAATGAGCAAAGGGGAGTAAGCCACCCCCCCCCGCAAACTGGGGGTGGGGTAAAGCTGATGGTTGCCGACTCCAGGCTGGGAAATCCCTAGAAATTTGGGGTGGTGCCTAGGGAGGGTAGAGTTTGAGGAGGAGAAGGAGCTGTGTGGGGTTGAGATGCCCCAGCCTCTGTTCCTTTCCAGGTTCTTGTCAGCTGGTTGGACAGGTGAGACCAGCCCAGTCCCTCTTGAGACTGATCCTTCTCCGCCTGATTCGCTGTGCTGTTGTCTGGTTTGGGGGAAGGCCGGGCACTTGATCTGGTCCTGTAAAAGTCCCTCCTGTTAACCTCTTTGGGCAAACAGCAACCAGAGCACACAAATAAACCTCCATTGACTGGGCTGTGCTGCAAACTGAGCAGATCTGTGCAAGGAACACTGGAAGTTGACATGTAGCGTGCCAGCCCCACATCCTTTGACCTGAAATTTAAGTTCAAAACTCAGCGTTTCCAACCATGTTGTCTTTGCCACTAAAAACAGCACCTGTGTGCCAGACTATATGTCATGGTGTCCATGGGTTGGATCACCATCATTTGAAAGAAGAATTTGCCCATTTAATGAAGGATTCAGCATTTCAGAATCAGGCAATCTAGTCCCCCCACCACCACTACCTTTTCAGGTGCCAAAAAAGCCCCTCCCCCATGGCTGTTTCGGCACTTGAAACAGTGCCCAGGTGGGGAAACGAGGTTGCCTGGTCCTGCCGTGCCACATGTGGGTCTCACACAATTTTTAAATGGCCAAATCCTTCTCTAAAATGGTGTCGCCGTCCATGAGTCGGACCCGTGGAAGCAGTAACATCTGGTGCAGCCCTGTGTGTGCCGCTGTGCTTGCTGTCTGCTCGCACTCAAATGTGTCATTAAGGAAACATGTGGCATGGTATCACAGCATGTGTGTTACTGCTACGCCCCAGCCCAGCCCAGCAGCCAGTAATGTGGATCGGGGCAGGGAGAGCGCACGAGGCCATCAGGGCACAGGCCGCCCAGAATCAGCTGTGGCCCTGGTGCAAGTGGCCACTTCCTGGGTTTCTCCGTCTGGACAGCATACTTGGGGGGGGGGGATGATGGCAGTGGTGAAGAATCCAAGCAGGTGAGGAACACAGCCATGCCACACACTTCTGTAAGAGGAGGGTGATCTGGGCACAAAGCTGATTTGGGCAGTGGGCAAACATCAACAGACGTGATAACAAGCTGGGTTCATATTTCCTGGTGAAGCAAGGGGGCTGGTTTTCAGTTGGACCAGGCGTGCTGTCAGATGTAACGCCAGGCACCAGAAGTGGCCCGCAGCCAGGATCTTGTGGCTTGTGGGACAAAAGAATTTCTGGTGGGGCTGGTAGGGCTGTCATTATATGCCATACTAAGGGGGGTGGGATTCAAAGGAATCCTTTAAGTGCTTCTGATAAGAAGCAGGGGTTGGCACACGCCCCTCTCCCTCCCCTCCTGCAAGATTTAAAGGGCCACGTGCTCCCTGCCGATCAGCTGAAGGACCTTTTAAGTCATGCAGGAGGGGAGGGAGAGGGGCTTATGCCAACCCCTGCTTCTTATCAGAAGCACTTAAAGGATTCCTTTGAATGCTTTTGGGAAGAAGGGGGGTCTTTAAGGAAGGGGGCAGAGCCCCCCAATAGCCCCACCACAACTACGGGCCAGCGCCAGAGATACAAACTCTCTAGAGGACAGCAGCCGGTAAGCTGAGTTGGTGCCCCCTAGGCTGGGAGATACAGAGGAAGACCCACATGGGCTGACTGGAGAACCAGTGGGGTGGCGTTGGGCAGATGCCCCCACCAGTGCTGTATGGCTGGGCCCCAGGGTAAAACCATGAAGTGGCTGGGTGTTGTGTGAACTTTCCCCCACCCCCCGGCCACTAAGCCACCGTGAAAGGGGACTGGGAAGATGCTGAACTAACCCCCTCACCTGTGGGACCCCGGCCAAGCAAAGCCCGATAAGCAGGAGGTGCCCGTGCAGCAGCAGTTGCTTCTGGCCAAGGCCACCAAGCGATCCATGGCGGGGTGATGCTGGGGATTCAAGTCAGAGGTCGTTGGCAAGCCGTGCCACTCCAAATGTGTAGCAGAGGCCTCCGCCCCCCCAGCGACCAGTACGGGTGGAAATCACTGGCATTGCCCCCTCCCCAAGGCAGCAGCCACCTCTGACGGAAGTCCACTGGGGGAGGGAGGCCTGGCTGCCCAATTGCGTGCTCAGTGGCAGGACTAGGCCACCAATGCGTGGAAGAAACTGCCAAAGAACACTCCCTCCTGGGCCACGGCACAGCTGACACATGGGGGGGGGACAACGAATACGACAGTGGCCCTGGCCACAAGCAGCCCCTGGCAGAGGATCCGGTGTCCTGCACCATGTGCAAACACCGATCCCTGTGCCCATCTGGGACGGCATCCCCAGAGCTGCAGGTTGAGCGGAGAGGCATGCGACCTTGCCGTGGGTCCCTGAGGCTGCATGAATGTGGCTGTGGCCGCTCCCACCTTAGCAGTTAGGCTGCCACTTAAGGGAAGGCATTCTGCTTGACTCCTGCAGATGAGGTTGTTCCACCATGCTGAAGCGGAGCTCTGAATGGCTCCGCCCACTCCCCCCCCCAGCAGCCTCCCATTCCCTCCATCATACCAGTTGCTCGTGGGCCAGATAAGAGCCCTGGAGGGGCCAGTTCCGGCCCCCGGGCCTTATGTTTGACACCCCTGCATGATACTGTGGCCCTGAGTCCACCATGGGGACATCTTAGAGCCTTTTAAAAAACTTTTAGATTCACCACAGCAGTGTTCCCTCTAAGCTGAGTTCGTGTGAGCCAGCTCACAGTTTTTTAGCCTCCGGCTCACACATTTTTGTCTTCGCTCAGGAAAGGAGGGCTCCAGAGCAAACTAATTTATGCAGTAGCCAAATTGCTCACAACTTTAATGCCAGTAGCTCACAAAGTGGGATTTTTGCTCACAAGTCCCCACAGCTTAGAGGGAGCATTGCACCACAGTGCCCCAGTCCTGCTGGGGACTACAGTGTGGGGGGGGTGAGGGGTCCTTTCCCCACCATGCTGTGTTTTGGCTCTTTAAAATGGTGTGGGGGAGGGGGAGACAGGAGCCTCTCATCTTTCCACACCAGGGTCCCCGGAAGGATTTGAAAAGTAAGGATGCAGCCTCTAAATGGCACTCCATCCCCTTGGTGGACTTGGGGATGCTGCACTGTGTAGCTCAGAAAGCCAGTCTTGGTGGACGTGGCCCCTGGCATAAATCTGACTTACAAACCATGTACCAGAACAAGGCAGAAGTCCCGTGGCACCTTCAAGACTAACAATATTCATTCTAACATGAGCTTTGTGAATCAGACAGAGCTCATGGTTAATATAGCGAGTTTTGCCCAGTCATAGAAGTGTGATCGGTAAAGGTAGAGGTTCCCTTGCTCGAAAGCCAGTCGAATCCGACTCTAGGGTTGCGGTACTCATCTCCGTTTCAAAGCCGAAGAGCCAGCGCTGTCCAAAGACGTTTCCATGGTCATGTGGCCGGCATGACTAAACACCAAGGCGCACAGAACGCTGTTACCTTCCCACCGAAGTGGTACCTATTTATCTACTTGCAATTTCTTGCTTTCGAACTGCTAGGTTGGCAGGAGCTGGAACTAGAGACGGGAGCTCACTCCGTCATGCGGCACCCTGGGTCTCGAACTGCTGAACTACCGACCTTCCACAGCCTGCAGTTCAGCCTCTTAACCACTTGAGCCACCGCAGCTCCTAGGATATACTTCTTGGGAGACTTATTTATTGCACTCAGTATCACACTTCTATGGAGCTGTGGTAGCTCAAGTGGTTAAGACGCTGAACTGCAGGCTGTGGAAGGTCGGTAGTTCAGCAGTTCGAGACCCGGGTTGCCGCAGGATGGAGTGAGCTCCCGCCTCTAGTTCCAGCTCTGGCCAACCTAGCAGTTCGAAAGCAAGAAATTGCAAGTAGATAAATAGGGTTCACTTTGGTGGGAAGGTAACAGCGTTCCGTGCGCCTTGGTGTTTTGCCATGCCGGTCACATGACCACGGAAACGTCTTCGGACAGCGCTGGCTCTTTGGCTTTGAAACAGAGATGAGCACCGCAACCCTTGAGTCGGATTCGACTGGCTTTCGAGCAAGGGAACCTTTACCTTTACTTTAAGAAATATATTGCAAAAAAAAAAGGTGAGCTTCCATTTATTCAAGTAGATCCAGTCCACAGTCCAGTTGAAAGGAGAGGAAGGCGAAGCCTTATTGAAAGAGGACTTTCCCTGTCACCCATGGCCAGCTTGTCTGGCATCGTGTGTGTGGGAGTAGGAGGGCATTGCATCTAGGGGAGAGGCCTGTGGCCCTCTCCATGGAAGGCCATGTGCAGCAAGCGAGAGGACAACGCGCGAGAGAGGAGGAGGGCTCAGAGGGCAGCTCCCAGATTCAGACCAAGAGAGGCGTCCCGTCCATGGAGAGAACACCCGCACACCCTTAGAGTAATGTAGTGCCCCCTAGCTGCCCAGGCATGCTGAGTTGCTTACTCCAACACTCACCTTTGTTCATTTTAATGCGGCTGCCCCTCTGGAATTTATGTTCCAGAGGCCCCTTAGAGAAAATGATCTGAAGGGGAATTTTCTCCTCTTGTATCAAGGTTCCATCTCCCTCCTAAACCCTGCTGGCCACGTCTTTTAAAGTGAGCACTTCTTTGCCGTCGCTCTTGTAAAGAGGACTGACTAGATCCTCCTCTTCTTCAGGGTTCTGCCTAACAGGCAGAGATGCACCTGTAAGGACTCCAGCTGGCACAGTTCACACAGACGGGGGGTTGAGCACCCCCCACCCTGGAACCAACTCGTTTTTTGGGGGGGTCTTGCCCGGACCTCCACTTTGTAAACAGTAACAGTAAAGCAAATTCAGGCTAGGATGTCTCTGAGCGTGTGCGGGATGCTTCCTGTAATCAGCTCCTGGGATACAGAAAGAGAGAGAGGATGTCCTGGCTCAAAGATATAAGGTTGCCAACTCTGGGTTGGGAAATTCCTGGAGATCTGGCTGGTGGAGCCTAGGGAGGGCGGGGTCTGGGGGGAGGGGCCTCAGTGGGGATGCAGTGCCGGAGCGCCCACCCTCCAGAGCAGCCATCGTCTCCAGGGGAACCGATCTCTTTCATCTGGAGTTCAGTCATTGTTCCGGGAGATCTCCAGGCCACACCTGGAGGTTGCCAGCCCTAACATGGAGTGTTTGCCCCCCCACCCCCACAGCCCTTTTTGTAACAACCAAAACTCTCCTGTTCTTCTCAAGCATTTCTGAAAGAGCAACCAGTGCACGTAAAGGAGGCAGAGCGGACCGTGGGATCCTCCTGGGTTCCCCGCGTGTGACCTCTTGCCATTCTGCCCCTCTCAATCCAGGCCTCGTCCTCGACTGGCGTTGGCTGGCCGTGGCCGGGGAGGTGCCGGTCCTGCTCATGGTCGTCTTGCTGTGCTTCATGCCAGAGTCGCCGCGTTTCCTGATCTCCAAGGGGAAGGAGGAGGAGGCCCTGAGCGCCCTGACTTGGCTGCGGGGCCAGGACGCCAATTACTGGTGGGAGTACGAACAGATCAAGGACAGCGTGAAGGAGCAGGTGGGCCATGCCAGGGCTGGTGGGGAACGGCAGGGATGCGCCCAGGAAATCCCACTGGTAGTGGCCGCCAAAGGGCAGTCTGAAGCAGCGTTTCCCAAGCAGATTAAAACTGGAGGCACAAAGTGTCATTTTTAGAATGCGTAAAATTGACCTGCCTCCCCTCAGAAGCACCCGTCCCCCATGTTTAGGAACCGGGAGGTAACTTTGGGGATGAACGCTGGGGCTGGTCTGAGGACGACCCTGTCGTTGTAGAATGTACATAAATCTGTGTGTACCGACAAAGCTTTCAGCTCCAAACCTACGCGCGCGTTCCTCTTGGCGCCGCAACCACCTGGGGGCCTCCCAGGACTGCCGGCGCCGGATCCATTGTCATTCGAGGCCCGCAGCTCTCGAATATGTTTTAGGGCTGGAAGGTAAGTACCTTCTCCCATTGCCCTTTAGGTCTCCGCTGCTTCTTCTGACCTTCCGGTGTCTTCTGGGATCTTCGTGCTCTTCAGTTCAGAGCACAGCCAGCACGTCCTGCTCAGAAGGCAGGGCCGGTAAGACTGGGGATCAGAGGATGAGCCCCTCCCCTCTGGGATCAAAGTTTGCCGGCCCTGCCTACGGAAGGGGGAGGTGCTTTCCCCAGGAGTAAGGAGTCAAGGACTGCCCCACTCCTGGACCACCGGAGAAGCTCTGTATTCTTGGTACTTTGGGGGGGGGGAGAGTGGGAGGGCTTCTGGAGTTCTGGCCCCGCTGGTGGACCTCCTGATGGCACCTAGATTTTGGCCACTGTGTGACACAGAGTGTTGACTGAATGGGCCACTGGCCTGATCCAACATGGCTTCTCTTCTGCTTTTATAGCTGCAGTGGACTGTCTTTCGGGGAGAGGGTGTTTTGGGGTCCTAGAAGTGTTCAATTATTGAATTAATTGTCTGATTGCAGCACACTCACATACCCCAGCCCATAGTTTGAGAATGACTGGCTGAAAAAGGAGGAGGTCAGGCCCAAGGATAAGTTTGCTAACCCACCAGTGTTTTATCGGTCCCAGTAGGAAAAGCACGGTGTGTTAGAGCTGAGGCCTCAAAAGCCAGGATCTGTCCCTATGACCCCCCCCCCATTCCATCCTGGCTTCTCCTCTGGTGCCTTCAGATCCTGCCCGCTACTATATGCTAGACTCCCCCCCCCACATTCCTGAAATCAAAAGGGGGTGAGGTGGCCTACACACCTGCATGAGCATCAAGTGACGGCCTGTGTTGTGTTCCTGCCCAGGAATCAGGATCCCTGGGAGAGGCCCTCCTGACTGTCCCATTGGTCAAAGAAGCTCATTTGGGGGGTACACGAGGGAGGGCCTTTTCGGTGGCAGCCCCCACCATGACGGAACGACCTCCCCAAGAGAGGTGTGCCAGATGCCCTCAGTGCCAGTCTTCAGGAGGCAGTTAAAGACAGTTTTATTTAGGACTGCAGTTGGTTAAGTCCACTAGCAGTCAGGAGTGGTGTAATCTTAAGCTTTGGTTTTTATGTCTTTAACATATTTTATATTTTGTGTGTTTTTATCTGTGTTGTAAGCTGCCCTGAGCTTCGTAGTGGAAGAGAGGTGGCCAATGCATTGCAAAAATAAAATAAAACTGTGCAGTGGTTCGAGTGCTGGACTCAGGGCCGGCTCCAGCTTATTTTGCACCCTAGGTGAGGATCCCTTCTGGGGCCCCGTGCACCCACCAATTGTCAAAATAAATGCATTTTAGGAAGAATGAAAAACACAAATAATCAAGAAACTCCCGGAGTACAGGGCCGGGTGCAGTTTGGTGCGATCGCCTAGTTCGCCTAGTGAGTGAGCCGGCCCTGGCTGGACTTTGCTCTTGCTGACCCAGCTTGAAATCCCTGCTCTGCCATGGAAGGTCGCTGAGTGACTTTGGGCCCGTCATTTTCTCCAGACCTAACATACCTCACAGGGTTATCGTGAGGATAAAATGGAAGAGGGGAGGGTTAAGCGGAAAGTCCTTTTGGGCCCCCATTGGGGAGGAAGATGGGGTAGAAATAAATCAATAAACCCTGGCAAATCTGGCACCACCAAGGATGGTCGTCATTGTCATCCAGCATCTGTGTCGAAAGTCCACTCCATGCACGCTGACCCCCCCCCAAGACAAATTCTAGAAATGGTACAAAGTTTGACTCCAGGGGGCATCTTTTAAGACCAACCAAGTTTAATTCTGAATATAAGCTTATCCCCAGGGTTTGAAACAGATTTATTTATTTATTTATTTATTTAAATATGTGCTCCCTACTTTTCTCCCCCCAAAGGGCTTAAAGCATTGTCCTTCCCTGCCCCATTATATCCTTACAACAGCCGTGAGGTAGGTTAGGCCGAGACAGTGTGACTGGCCCTGGGTCACCCAGCGAGCTTCCATGGCAGAGTAAGAATTTGAACCTGGCTATCCCAGATCCTGGTTGGACACTGCAACCGCTGTGGCGTGCTTAAATCTGCAGCTAAGATCCATGCTTGGGCACCAGCCTTTCCCAGTAGAGCCTGCTCATGGCTCCGTCATTGACATGTGCAAATCGCGGGGCTCCAGCTTGGGAAATCCCTCAGCAGGCTATAATACCATAGAGTCCAGCCTACAAAGCAGCCATTTTCTCCTGTGGAGTTGATCTGTCTTCTGGAAATCAGCTGTAACGGCAGATCTTCAGACCCACAAGGAGGTTGGCAGCTGTAGCTGTTCCTAGAGTGGTCCATTCCCATCTAGGGTGCTGGGGGTGGGGGTGGAGGCCCCTTGCTGTGCACGAAAGGCTCTGCTGGGGCACATAATAGTGTGGCAGATGGATGAAAGGTCTTTCCCTCGTTCCTCCCTCTCCACATCTTCTAGAGCCAACCAGTCACTTGGGCGGAGCTCAAGACCCCTTACATCTACAAGCCAGTGGCCATCACCTTGCTGATGCGGTTCCTGCAGCAGCTCTGCGGCGTCACCCCCATCCTCGTGTACCTGCAGGTGATCTTTGACAGCACGGAGGTCATTCTGGTAAGCCCGTCCAGCTGTTGGGAGCCCCTCGGGGCCTGGCCTCAGACTCCTTCCACCCTAACTCCCACCCACCCCCATTGCCTCCCTGCCTGGGTGAGGGACTCACACAAGACACAATCTTTGAGGGTAGAAGCACCGGTCTGCCCTTTGAGGCAGCGGGAGTTTATTTTATGCACTCTGCTCTCAACGCAAGATGAGGCTGGGGTTGACACAATACGTGAAACAAAGGAGAACCAGATGCTCAGGCAGAATGCCTGGAATGTCTGCATAGCATAAGTACCAGTGATAACAAGCTGCTCCTGGCGCCTCAGATGCCTGCAGTGACAAGATGGGCAAAGGTCAGTGTAATGATTTCATGTTTAACTGTGTGTGTGTGTGGCTTTAAAAGTTTGGTTTGCATGGCTGTGATGATAATCTAGAGTGCTGGAATTAGGCAAGTGATATGATTGGTGAGTGACAGAGAGGGGGAGGAGTTTTGGAATGGATGCTGTGTGGAGGATTTGAATGTCTATCAAGGGGGTCAGTTAGAGATATGACAGTTGATGAAGTCAGTTAAGCTATGTATGAGAGAGAAGGAGACTTATCCCTGTGTGGGTTGTTAAGTTCTATGTCTTAGAGTTGAATTAGACAGTTGATAAGTTAAGAGCATTCTGAAGTCTGAAGGAGGGACAGTCTTGTGTGTTATGAAAAGTTGAAGTATAAAGAAACAGTAACCGTATATGGCCTGAAGGGAAAAGGGTTACAAAGTTACATGCCCAGATCCCTGTCAGTAAGAGAGAAAAGAGTGTGATACACCAAGCATTCATTCAATATTTAAGCCTTCCTGGTTACAATGAGTTAATCTTTTATTTGTGAATTACTTCAATAAATCCTCTTTTATTCAAATATACCCACTCTGAAAGAAATACTTCCCAGGACCACATAGTACATCGAACGCCTTAAACACTCGACATACCTACCCAGAAATAGAGAAAGCATAAAGGTTTGGAAATCCTTTTAAAATTTCCTGGTGGCAGCCAGAATACCCAGTAGAATAAAATATAAAGAACACTTTTAAAGTAAAACCAGACCTCCCCAGTTAAGGGGTCGTCACAGTCAGAATTAGTGATCAGCCACTGATCTACCTTATGTTAACAGAGGCAGGATGTAGTGGGATCAAGATTGGTGTGCCATATCGTTAATCCTCCCTACACCTGGGGGCTTCCAGCAGCCCTGCTGCCAGCTGAGCCCGGCGGCTGCTCTGATGCTGGCCGTGTCACGGGGGCGGCCTCCTGCTGTGGCTGCTGCACCTCAACTCTGAGCTGAGCAGCCTGTGCTGCTGCCGCCGCCGCCGCCAGATCAGTGGCCACAGTCCTCACCTCACTGCCGGCCACACGTGGTCTTTCAGGGCTGTGACCCACCTGAAGCTCCACTGGGAAGACAGAGGGCCTCTTCCCCTGCCGTCCTCAGTGTCTTCCTGGAAAATTCTCCCCCCCCCCCCCCCCCTTTTCTTGCCCCCCCCTAAAACCCACCTTTCCAGTAAGCCCCTTTCCTCTCCCCCCCCAGCTGAAACGAAACCAAAGAGCGGGCGGCACACCTCAACACTCCAAAGGACAAAAATGGTCACAGTAGAGCCCCATTCCCCCCAATCACCCCACCTGATCTGGGGAAGTCTGTGTGTGCACAAAACCTCATGCCGTGATCACAACTTTGTTGGTCTTCAAGGCGCTGCTGGACAGACTGTGTTCTGCTGCTCACCCCGCCTGTTAAAGATTGAAAGGTGCAGCTGTCAGCTGGGAGAGTCAAAGGGCTGGGCTGGTGTCTCCTGGATTTTTGACAGCTGGGGTGCAGCATTTTTCAGTACCTGGAAGTACCTGTCTGTTTTCTGCATCTGCTCCCAGCTCCCCACTCCTCCTTGCGTGCATTCCAGGGCCAGACAGTGGGACCCACACCTTCTAGACGGGTGGTGGTGGTGGTGTCTTATTTATAGCAGGATCTCTAGGTGTGTCCTTGCAGTGATGTTTATGACCATATATTGGCTGAGAGCGGGGTGTGTGTGTGTGTTGTCACTGGGGTGGAGGGCCTGCCCCTGCTGGTGAGGGATGCATCCTTTCTCGAGGTGTCCTTGCAGCGTACTCATCTGCCCTGGGGCCTTCAGCAGGGCAAGTCCCCATCAGTGAGTGCCGCGGATGAGGCCCACTTTCCTTTGCTTCCTAAACTGGAGAGATCTCCCCAATTCCACATAACACAGAGAGGGTCTCTGAGGAGGGGGGAGCATGCGGTGGCCTTTTGCAGTCTAGAACACGAGAGGCACCATTAGGAGCCAGAAGACCCGCTTGTGGCCGGAGTGCTCGGGGTGCGCAGCGAGACACAGGGCGGTCCCAGTCAAGATACGCACCAAGATCTGCCCATATCACATTCGACAAGGACAGCATGACAAGAGAAAAGTTCAAGGGTTGGGCTTCAGATGGGCTGTGGCGGAGGAGTTGCCCCAGGGGCTTGTGTCTCAACCTGCACCGTTGTCAAAGCCCACGACTATTACCAAAGGCCGGACACGTCTCCATATCCTTCAGCTCTTCATAAAGGCCCCCCCCCTCCGGTAGAAAAGGAAGGGCCTGCTCTGTTTTGCATCTCCTTTGCTCTTCACAGGCGTCACAGTACGATGCTGTTATTGTGGGGGCCGTGCGGTTGGTGTCGGTCATCTTTGCTGCGTCTTTCATGGATAGAGCTGGGAGAAAGATCCTCCTCTACGCCTCAGGTGCCGGCACTGCCCATTCACACGTAGCCATTTGTGAAGTCAAGATCAGTTTCTGATCATCTTTTAGGGCGCACTGGCATACCGATGGGGGTTTGCCAGCCACCAGGTGGGGCCTGGAGACCTCCCGGAATTACAGCCGATCTCCAGGCAACAGAGATCAGTCTCCCCTGGAGAAAAGGGCTGCTTTGGAGGGTGGAGTCTCTGTGGCATGATAGCCTGCTGTGGTCCCTCCCCTCCCCAAATCCCATCCTCCCCAAGTTCCACTCCCAAATCTCCAGGAATCTCCCAACCTGGCATTGGTGACCCTAATACTGAGCCAACTTTAGGTTTGGGGGGACCTGGGCAAAAGGGTTGCCAGTGGGCCTAGAGGTTGTGGGAGGGGGAGGGCTGGGAGAGCAACTCTTGGTTCACAGGAGAAGCCATAAACATCCCTGCTGTTTCTTCCCCCTCTAGCTTTCATCATGCTCGCCTCCAACCTGACCCTGGGGTTCTACATCCACTACGTCCCTCTGCATCCTACCAACGCCTCTGCGACAGCTGGCAACAGCAGCAACCCAAGCCCTGTCCCCCCCACAGCAAACGGCCTCACCGTCCTTCCTTTGATCGCCACCATGTCCTTCATTGTAGGTACGTAGCTGAGGGTCTGTTCCGAAGGTCAGGATTTAGGGACGTGGGAAGCAGCCCCACACCATTTAGGGAAGTGGAGGGAAAATACTTCGCTCCGGCCTTTCAGTTGCCTCGTTGCAGGTGGTGGAAGATGCCCAGATATGGAAGACTGGAGATCACCTGGCCGATGACACCTTCCCAAAGCCAGGTGATGCAGGAGCTCAGAGAGAGCCAGTCCCCAATCCCCAGTGTATCTGCACGATGCAAGGCCCATCATATTTGGGAGCTGCCTGGCCCACAGTGCCAAGATTTGGTGGGAAGACAAGTCTGACGAATGTCCCTCCACAGATGACGTTGCTTTGCCAGGCCTTGAAGATGGCATTGCAGATGTTCCAATGGTAGACCAGGTGCACCGCATAGGAGCAGTGTTCCCTCTGAGTTACTGTGAGCTAGCTCACAGTTTTTTAGCCTCCAGCGCACACATTTTTGTCTTAGCTCAGCAAGGATGGCTCCAGAGCAAACTAATTTATGCAGTTTCCAAATTGCTCGCTCACAACTTTAATGCCAGCAGCTCACAAAGTAGAATTTTTGCTCACAAGACTCCACAGCTTAGAAGGAGCATTGCATGGGAGTTGATGCACACTTTAGACCTAAATTCTTGTATATACATTCAGCCACTCAGCCAGACTTTTACCAGGGATGTGCAGTGACAAACACTTTTCAACTGTACTGAAATATCTGCTTGGACTCCGAGACCCAAGCCTGGGGCCCCCCTGGGTTATCGCTCCACATCCCTTGAGCAGCACTCCAGACTGTGGGTCCTCAGGGTTAAACTACATATGAATAAAGCGGACCTTAGACTATATAAAGGTTTGTTAAAGGATTAGAATACATCTCCATACACAGAATGCCCTCTCCACAGCTCAGCAACAAATAAAGAAGCCAGCTGTTCTAGTACATTGCATTACCTGAGTATCAGATGACAAACCTTCTTACAGCATAAATCCAGGCAGTAGCATAAGTGCATTCTATACATTGCATCTCATCATGATGAAGCATAACTTATCAGTGCATACTGGCAAGGCATGACCATAAAGTTAGCATGATTCCCCTCCTGCCTATACCCTTGTTATAGCTTTTGCCCTCTCACATGAGGGGGTCTCTTGGCTCTAATCAGGAATCCCCCTTGATAGACGTTTCCAGAAGATGTTACTCTCTGCTCCTAATTCCCCCCCTCCCATCTGGTTATACAACTGAGCGCAGGTTCTCACCATTAATGAATTACCACAGTCTTGAGTCCAGCCATGAAAGAGACAAGGAAGGTAGCTGCAGGAAGTCCCAAATCATGAACCCCTGCAGGCTGGACTAGGCCTTCTAATAGTCACATTCACCGTTGAAGGAAATTAGGTTGCTTTGCCTCACAACTCCCAATTTGTTTCCACTGCAATTGAACTTTAACCCATAAAGCTCTACATGACCTAGACCCATCCAGAGCATCTCTCAAAGGCCACCTGCTCCCACAGGAGCTTCCCTGTTCCCTTAAAATCTCCGTAGGCTTTTCTCCAGTGATTCCCCACCCACCCCCTTCAAAAGCAAGACATGACCAGGGAGAAAACCTTTCCCATGACAAAACCATAGCTGCTGGAAAACTCGGCCAGGGGAACCATATTTTGAAATTAGAAGTCATGTCACTATGATTCAGAGCCAGGAGTCCACCTTGGGCAGGTATGCGTGCTCCTTTGGCCAGCTGGACTCCTGGCAGAAACCCAAAATGAAGGCAAGCGACCATAAGAGTTGCCCCGTTAGCCTGCTGGGTCAAAACTGCCAAGAATCCGAGAGCACCTGAATGACGACCAGTTCGTTCAGGCATCAACTGCTGTGGGCAAGACCCAACTTGGATAAGTGCCATGGACTTGAGGACTGCCGGGTGGCCGTTGGTTGGCCTTCCGTGTTTCCAGGAGGATAACGAATCCAACTTGGAGCTCTTGAAAGCAGACAGAGATCCAGAGGTGATTCTTTTCTCCCACTCAGTGCTGCTTTTAGGAGCCCTCTGCCCTAACTTCCAGAGCGCGGTGGCCTGTGTGGGCCTGCTGCAGGCTGGGGAGGGGTTGGGGGTGGAGATGCCTCCCTACAAGTTGGGAAGCCGTTTGAATGGAAGGCTCCGGGAACTCATCCATCCCCGTGGTGGCCACTCAACACCCTCCCAGGAACCCTCCTCCAAAGTTAGCCGTTCAGGTGACTGACCCCCCAAATTGCGGTCTTTTATGTGTTTTAATCATTGTTGTAATTACATTGGAAGCCACCTTGAGGTCTGCAAGGTAGAAGAGGGGCCAACAAATGTTTTAAACAATACGAAGCCGGACAGCTTAGTGGGGCAAAGAGGAGCCCCGCCATCTGGGAGAGCGAGATGCCGTGGAAGATCAGGCCAGGGGGGGATGAATTGAGGGAATCTGCCGGCAGGCCCTCCCTGCTGGCCTCTTCCCGAACTGACGGGGGCTTTCTTTGCTTCCTCTAGGTTACGCCATGGGTTGGGGCCCCATCACCTGGCTGCTGATGGGCGAGGTTCTCCCCCTGAAGGCACGAGGGGTGGTGTCCGGCCTGTGCGTGCTCGTCAGCTGGTTGACAGCCTTTGCCCTGACAAAAGCCTTTCTGCCAGTTAAGGTAAGGGCGGCACCACAGGTGTGAACTCCGCCAGCGGCCTTGGCCTTCCCCCCCACCCCCCGGAAGTTGTTGCTCTGTGAGGGCCCAGGGATGGGGGGGGGATCTGCATCAGGCCAAAGGGTGGTCTGGGAATTGTGTGTCCCAAGACCAGGTGGGCGTGATTCCAAGTTGAGGCCGCTTTCCTTACCTCCCGTGAGGAAACCTATAATGGCCTCCATGCAGCTTAAGGGCCGCGCGGGAAGTGACGGGGGCCAAGGTCCAGGCCACGGCTGTCAATACCACTCTAGAGGATCGGGCCCTCGCAACAGTTTTGAAATGACTGGACCTTTCTCTAAAATGAAGCAGGCAGCCAGAGGTGGGACCCGTGGCCATGGTCACCACTACTCGCTTGGCCCTTGAGAGAGAGTTTGAAGCGGAGGGGCCTGAGCTTCCTGCTGGTGGGGCAAACCCAACATGGCCGCTACAAGCTGGCAACGCGGCAGACTCCTCTGTCTGCAGCAACAAAGGCCCAGGCCACCTTCTGCGCAGAGAGGGGTTTTGGATACTGGGCCCACTCCTCTGCCTTGTGCTGTGGTGCCCCCCCCCGGCTGTGCTGTGGCAGAAACACGAACACTGCAGGCGACTTCTGGGTGGCCAGCACAGCTAAGGGCAGGGCAGGGCGACTGGCTGTGGAGGAGGAGGAGGAGACTCTCCCTCGCGGCCCAGAGAGGAGTGGGGCTGTGTGTGGAGGGGGAGGCAGGTGGGCCGTGAGCCCAGGGGCTGCGAGGGCTACAGGCTGAAGAGGCTTTGCTTCTTCGGCCAGACACAGGACGGCAAGGAGGCACTTCCCCGCTTGGCACGTTCTCTCCAGGGATCCCCAGCCCTTTTGAGGGCCTTTGGAATTCCGGCACGGTGTGGTGGGGGCAGCCACAGCTTCCCTTCGGTCACGCCCTGAAGATCCTTGTGCTGTGGTGGAAGCTGCTGCCAAAGCAACCTTTTTAAAAATCTGCACAGCCGATTAAAAGTCTAATGGCCAGTCGGAAGCCTTGCTGGGCTGAACCGAAGGCCCACCTGACCCCGCCCACTTCCTCGAAAGGCTCCGTGAGCGGCAGGAGCGGTTTTGGTGGGCGTCATGGCACCCACAGGCATCGCATTGGGGAACCCTGTTCTGCTGTCCCCCTTTGCTTGCTCTGCCAGCGGCCTCTCTGCCGAGACTCTAGCCCACGGAGGGTCCCACGCGCCTGCCACCTTTGGGCTCCACAGCCTCATTTGGCTGCAAGTGGGAAGCCCTGGGAATGAGCCAGACCACCAAGCGTCCTTCCTGGTCATCCCAGAGGGATTTCGAATTCATAGGCACATCTAAGGGCTGGTAGATACGGCACTCTGCAAGCCCCCTCACCCTCAGCACTGCCTGCCAGAAAGCCGAAGACCTCAACCACAGCTGCAAGCCCTCTCCCCAAACAACATGGGCGTATACGCTCCTCAAAACAAAGTCTGAGTCCAGACTGGGCACCTTTGAGACCAACAAAGTTTTGTTCTGGGTGTAAGCTCTACACAAAAGCCTGTACCCAGAATTAGACTTTGTTGGTCTCGAAGGTGCCCAGCCTGGACTCAGACCTTGTTCTGCTGCTCCAGACCAACACGGCTGCCCCCACCTGAAACCCTCCTCAGGTTTAACATCACTCTCCCTCCCTTCTTCTTGGTTGTCACTGGGGTCGTTTATTTCATTCCTCAGGATTCCTTTGGCCTGGAAGTGCCTTTCTTTTTCTTCAGCATCATTTGCGTGATGAACCTGATCTTCACCAAATGGTTGATTCCCGAAACCAAAGGCAGGTCTTTGGAGCGGATCGAATCATACTTCCGGACTGGGCGGAAGTCTTTTCTGGAATCCTTCCGGCGCCACAGATAAACCCACGAGAACTAATTCAAGATAGACGGGCAGGTGGGAGATTTTTGAGGCCAGCATGGGATGACCAAAGGTGATGACTGACCTCCAAGGGGAGAAGAGGGATCGCCAGTTTTTTGGGAAACTCATTTGCACTGGTTGACTTGCTTGTGGCCAAGAGCTAGTGTAGCAAGGGGATCTGCACTGGGAAGCAGGGAGCCCCCACGTGAATCCTACACTGGCCGTGAACTCACGAGGTGGTCTTTGGGAAGACACTTGTCCGCTCCACCGTGGCCCTCCTGCAGAAGAGGAACACCACCACCACCACCACCCTGTTGGGTCACCAGAGAGATTCCTGAGGGCGTTGCCAGAGACGCTCAGATCATTCTGAAGCCTTTGCAGTCATCACCCAAGCCCTCGTGGCTCCCAGCGGCCGAAATGGCCGAGAGGTCTTTGACAACCCCACAACTGTGAATCCAAGAGCCTTGGAGGCTCCGTGACCGGCGGCTCTGCTGCCCCCAAAGGGCCCTCTCTGCCGATCCCAACAGGTGCTTGTTTGCTTACCACAGAGAAATCTGTCCTCCTGGACAGTCAGTATGGGAAGAGGAGGCAGCGGAGGGGCAACTCAGAGCAAAACTGGGTGAGAGCTTAACAGATCCATGATCTAACAGATCCCACATCTTTTGTTAAAAAAAGAAATAGCCACAAGGGTATTGGTGGCGGGGGTGTCCAGCTGGTTCACTGGAGCACTTTAAACACTCTGTTTGCAGAACTGGATAGATTTGACTAGCTAAAAGCAACATTTTGGATCAGTCACCTTTTATGGCACCTTTTATGGCACATATAACAAAGAAGTTAGTGAAGCGGCCCTTGAGTATTTAGATTTCTTTCTCCCTCCCCAATAAATCAAACTTTGGTTCTGAAAGATGTAAAGACAAAATGCAGTGGTTTCTGGTGCAAATCAGGATGACGGTGAGAGAGAAAAAGGAAACTGGGAACCAGAGACTGGGATCAGTTCCTGCCCACATTTCAGGCTGGGCAGTGACTGGGGCTGGTTGAAAAAGTTGGCAAGGGTCACATCCACCTGTCAAGAAGCCACATTTGCCCAGTTCAGTAGGCCCCAACATGGGCAGCCTCAAGGTTCAGTTATTAGTGGCATATTAGGGGAGAGGCAGGGGACACGCAGAATGTCTACGAATGTTTGGGGGCTTTATTCCATTAAAGACACACCAAAGAGTAGAAGACTGAGCAAGAATGCCGGTCTCTAGGGATGGTCACGGACCAAACGATGGGCCTGATTTTGTCATGGACCAGGGGCAGGTCTGTGGTCCGTTTGTCCAGTCCGTGTTTTAGCATCTTCAGCAGACTGTCCGTGGACCGTATTCATATTTTAGGCGGTCCAAGTCTAAGTGGTCCATGGGCCAGGCAACCTGGTGCCAAGGAATCGTTTGTCAAGGCAACCAGCCCTTCAGCAGCCCTGAAACAGCGACACTGGTTCTCCAAAGCTTGACAGGCAGCTCTGGCTGCCAATACGGGAGCTCTCATTCTGGTCTATGGGAGCAGACTGCATATATACCCTCAGCGTGACGCTGGTTTCACTTTGCGGTAGGCAGTGGCAGGATTAGGATCCAGAGAGAAGATTATTAGTGGCAGAGGAAAGGAGTGAACTGTGGGGTTGGGGAGGAGTGTCTGTGGGCTCTGAGCCACACCACCTGTCCTCCTGCCAGGGCAGCAGGGCAAAGCGACTTATTCGAGACAGAGAGTGAGACTCGGAAGGGAGTGGACGGCGGGGTGAGGGAGGAGTGTCTGTGGGCTCTGGGATTTGAGTGACCACCTGTCCTTCTGCTTGGCTGAGGACCCACTCCACCTGAGCGGGCTGTTTAGGCCCCTGTCCCCGGCTGGGGCGGGGTTGTGTGTAGTCTCTGGGCTCTGAGCCACACCACCTGTCCTGCTGCTCCTGTCGGGGCCTGGGGCTCAGGGAGCGTCTCCATGCCAGCTGCGTGGGAGGTTTTGGCACCTGTTCCCATTGGGGGCGCTGTTGGGCTCTGAGCCCCGGCACCTGTCCATGTCAGGGCAGCAAGGCAAAGCGACTGGGGCTGAGGACCCATCGACTCCGGCCCAGTTGTGGCCAGAGAGCACACAGTACACCTTTCTGTGCGGTGAGGGTGAAGGTGGGGGCCCCTTGGGAGAAACCCAGCCTGCAGGGGCCCAGCTGTTCTGAGGTGGCAACAGGGGCCTCGGAGGGACAGCCCTCTTTCCCCGGTGTGGGGATGGGGATGGAGACAGAGGAGCTCTGAGTGCTGCCAAAAGAAGATCAGCTCGTGAAATGGGAGGAGGAGGAGGAGGAATCTCACCCAGCTCCTTCACATCCTGAGCTGCTCCTGCCTCTAGTCCAACCCCCCCCCCCAGGTCTGGCACCAGAACGCGGCAGCTGAGTCCCCCACCTGCTCCACTGTTGGGTGCCCGTTTCAAGGGGGGAACTCCGGCGGCACTTCCAAGCTCTCCAGAGCGACCCCTGTGCAGCAGAGCGCTGGGACGGCCAGGCCCAGGTGCGGAGGGGCCTGCATCCACACCACTTCTCCTCTGTCCTTCGCAGGCACCTGCAGAGGCACCACCCACATTGGTTGCCTTCAGAGCCACGCGTGGCGGAGGTGGCACCCAGCAGGGCAAAGAAGAGGCCTGCTCAGCAGGGAGAGGGGGGGGAGTCCACCGCAAGGCACAGGACGCACACCGAGGGTGCTGTGGGTGGGAGGGGACCCTGTAGGCAGCCCGCCCGCCCGCCCTTTGGGAGGTCATTCCCACGGGGTGGGGGCTCTCCCGAGCAAGAGGGCTAGGAGGAAGGCCCAGGAGGCAATCACTCGTGTCCCTGGATGGGGACCCTTCGGTAAACCCCTCCTCAGGGCCTGTCTGTCGGTCTCAGGGCCTTGTGCCCGGGTGAGGCACAAGGTCTGATGTGCATCTGCACCCCCCGCAATGGGAAATTTTAACTCCCGCTCCTCACGAGGCGTGTCTCCCCATGAATCTGCGTTTCAAGCCTCCCCAAGACCTCAGTGGACCTCAGGGTCATCAGGGGCCGCGTCCCTCTCCAGAGGACCTGCCTGTCAGACTCACAGCAAACAATGAAATACACTCTTGCAGGAAGGTTTTATTTTATTGAAGCCATGAAGTACTTGGAACAGATTCTCTGTTCAGAATAACACAAGGTGCTTGAGACAGGTATAATAAAGCGAGTTTAAAATAACGTGGGCCAATAGATACGGTTCCCGTGCCCGCCCTGAGGACTCATCGCGCTCCCAAACCCTGAGAAAGCAACGGTTGTAGCTGATCAAACAATTATTCTATTCTCACACTACTGTTCATTATAGACTAAGCAAAAAGCCTCCAAACGCGAACCACCTGTAGCCTTGGCAGATAAGGTTCCTTCAAAGCACTGCTAGCGTACATGGAAAGGAATGCAGTTGAAGACGAGCGCAGGAGGGTGAGGGGGGGGACATGCGCACCAGAGTCTAAGCCAGTCCAGGGAAGGAGAGGGGTGGGGATGGACACATCTCATATGCATGGAAAAGACATATTGGCAGCGTGCTGACACTGCCCCCCCCTTTGGGATGTTGAGTCCTCCCCAGTCCACCAGTGTCCTCCTAGAGCCAAGCAGAAGGTCTCACAGGTCATCGGGTGCAGGGTCCCTCCCCGGAGGGCCTGTGCCCCCCTCAGTGGGATTTTTAATACCCACCGGGAATGAGCACTTCCAGGCCCCCCCCCCCGGCCACCTCTCCCTTCTCCCCCATTGGCCTCATGCAGCACTCACCTAATGGGCTGACGTCTACCTCATAGCGCAACACCTGGAGACCAAGAAGCCCTGTGAGGAAAGGCCGAGGGACTTCTTGGGAATGTTCAGTCTGGAGGAGGTTGAGGGCGGACACAATTGCTCCCTCCAAGTATTGGAAGGGCCGTCACTTAGAGGAGGGCAGGGAGCTGTTCCTGTTCGTAGCAAAGGAGAGGACTCGCAAGAATGGGTTTAAATTAAGGGTGGGAAGGTGCTGGCTGGATATCAGGAAAAACGTTGACGGTAAGAGTTGTGCAACAGTGGAATCAGCTGCCCAGGGGGAGGAGGAGGAGGAGACTGAATTTATACTACCCGAAGGAGTCTCAGTGCAGTTTATAATCCCTTTCACTCCCCCTCCCCACAACTGACATCCTGTAAGGCTGAGAGAACTCTCTCGAGAACTGCCCTTGAGAGAACAGCTCTGAAAAAACTTACGACTGACCCAAGGGAGGTGGTGATCTCCCTCTCACTGGCAGTCTTCAAGCAGGAGCTAGACAAACCCTTGTCAGGGATGCTCTGGGCGGATCCTGCACTGAGCAGGGGGGCTGGACTAGATGGCGTCTTTGGCCCCTTCCGACTCTGTGGTTCTATGACCTACCTCATGAACCCAGATCTACCTCATAGCACAACATCTACCTCGTAGCACAACACACCCACCTCGTGAACCAAGACCTTCCTCTCGGTACAACTACCACCTCATGGAACAACAGCCAACTATCCAAGCCTCTACCCATATGAGCGAGCTGCACCCAATGTGATGCCCGCCTACATGAGCAGTGTCCCCACCGCCCAGGCCACAGGAGAAGGGTCAGCTGTGATTTATTTCCACAGAGCACTTTCCTGGGGGCAACTGCTTTCGGGGGCTGCTACTCGCCCCCCCAGTCAATCCTCACCAAACTTGGAGGGCAGCTAGAGGGGCGCCCCAGGGAGGTCCCCAGCAAGTTTGACACCTCAAGCTTACCAGGGGAACGTTTGACACAATCCTGAACCTCTGGCTGTGATTTCCCCACAGAGCACTTTCCTAGGGGCACCTCCTGGGGGAGGGCGTACCTCAGCCCCCCGAAATCCAATTTTCACCAACTTGGAGGTAGAAGAGAAGCTGGAGACTTGCTTCAAGTTTGGCATCTCTAGCCCAGCCCGGGGGGGGGGGGGCGTTCTAGCATGTCCCAAAGTCACAAACCTCATAAGGCACAAGCCGGTTTATCAAATTGAAAAGCTTGTGAAAATTCATAGTCCATGAAACCCATGAATCTATATGAACCTGCAGGTTTTTTTGTCTGTGCCCATCCCTATTTGTCCCCCATTTCAAACCACCTTCTCCCCTGCTTTTCCATCTTTTGTGGAAAGAGGGATATACTGCACACAAAAATCAACAGGGGGCAACTTTGATCGGGAAAACGGTCATACACTTTCCTTGTCCTCCATGAATCAAACTGAATCATACCATGGGCCCTGTCACATGGCAAAGTTGCCGCGGGAGAGGCACATAAGGTGGGCGGATTATCCGGGCGTGATCATACCCCAACATCTGGGAAGTGGAGCGCATCAAAAGTTTCTCCTTTTCTGGCCTCTTCCCCGCCATGTTTCTTGGATTGTTTACTTTCGCAAACTTTTTGAAAGTCTCTGAATATTTATTATTTATTTATTTATTCCTTCGATTTATATACCGCTCACCCCCTAAGGGCTCTGAGCGGTTTACATCATACAATTCATACAGTTCCTAGCTAAGGGCCACATACATACAATGGAGGAAAGTGACTAACCTAACAGGCACCCTATAGCGAAGTCTTCTTGTTACAGTTTCTCTAGCGGGAGGTCTTTTCCAATCTGCGACGGCGTCTTCCCGGCGCAGGTCTTCCTTCGGTCGCTGCGATTCCGCGGGCTTGGGCCAAGGGCATGTCAGCGCGTGCTCCTGCTGCAGCCTCGGTCCAATAGGCTCCGGCCTGCTGTGTTGCCCCGCCTCCGCGCTCTGTCGGCCCAGCCTCCGCTTGCTCGCTCGACTCGCCACCGCCACTATGTTCTCCGCCGCCGCCACCCCGCCACTCAAACACCACCACGAAGGAAGGAATTAGCCACGCCTCCCCCGGCCCATAGTTGTTTTCCAGTAAAAACAACACTCTCCTGCTCCACCTCTCTCTGCACTGTTCATATCAAACTGGTTTTGCAGGAACAAGCTGACAATTCTGTCCTCTCTGACTCTGTTAAAAGGGCAGCGGCCACCAAAAGTGGCAAGGGTGGCACTCTCCCCCACCCACATCCATTCAGCCCACTTGGTGCTCTACAGCCCATTTAGAATTGTTTGAAGAGGAAGAGAGAGGAGGAAGGATGTGTTGAGTGCAAGCCAAAGTCCCAGGAAGGCCTGTGAGCTCCTTAGCTGCCCTTTCTCTTTTTGGCTTCTGAAATTGCATCAGTCGCTCCCTCTAAGCTGTGGAGTCCTGTGAGCCAAAATTCTACTTTGTGAGCTACCGGCATTCAAGTTGTGAGTGAGCAATTTGGCTACTGCATTTCATTAGTCTACTCTGTAGCCATCCTTCCTGAGCTAAGACAAAAATGTGTGAGCTGGAGGCTAAAAAACTGTGAGCTAGCTCACACTAACTCAACTTAGAGGGAACACTGGTCACCAACATATCTCCGAATTAGTCACTGGATCTATAACAGCTAGAAACTTAAAAAAATTCAAACAGTTACTGAATGTGTTTCTGCAGAGATGCAGCAGAGAAGCTAAATATACACAACTTAAAGCAGACAAGTAAGAATTTGGCTTCTGCCTGAGAGACGCTCAAAGCACTGCACATCTGCTTGCACATCGTGTGCTTTAGAAGAGTCCCCCCCCCACACACACACACACACAACTGCAGTTAAGGAGACTTTGAAACCACAGAGTTCTTACCAGAGGTAGAAAGGTCTTTTTATTCACTGCATACACAAAAGAGGAGCAGTTCAGACAGCTCATTGTGTTTCAGCATTTCACAAAAACAGGCCTCTCTAGCAGGGTTGCCAGCTCCAGGCTGAGAAATACCTGGAGATTTGAGAGGGGAGGGTGGGATTTGGGGAGGGGAATAACCTTTGTAGGGTATGGTGCCACACAGTCCACCTTCTAAAGCAGCTGTTTCCTCCAGGAGGAGTAGAGCAAGTGTTTTAAATAAAGAAGCGATGTATGTAGTCTGGAGATCAGTTGTAATCCCAGGCCATTTCCAGGGCTCCCCCCCACCTGGAGGTTGGCAACCCTACTCTCCAGTCATGTCCCGGAAGCCCAGCCCATGGAGCCTTTCCACCAGTGTGGCCAGCTTGCCAAGCCCAAGAGGTATAGGTGCCAAGCGTCACACCGGACTGGCTCTCCGCCCAACCCAGCAGAGGCACCATGGTATGCAGAAGTTCTTTCAGGAACAACTCACCCATTGCAGTTCTCAAAGTATAGACCTTTTGTTTGACCGACACACGGAAGGCCTAATTCCCACTGAAGAGGGAACGTACAGCTTAAAGCTGGTGTAGGCAATCAGCCGCCGTTTGTGGACTCCACAGTTTGTGCAACACGTTCTGCTCAGGGCTAAACATGTCTTGGGTTTTCACCAAGTTGGGTCCAGGTGCCACGGAGCCACGGAGCTGCAGGGAATGGGTTTTTAAAAATAGAAGAGCCCAAAGGTGCTCAGAATGCCACCACGGAGGGTGGAGTAAGAGGCAGAAGGGCACCTGCGTTCCCCCCAGCTATTTTCCCATTCAGAAACAGTGCTGAGGGAGTTCTTTCCCTGTTTCTGCTGTTCCACATACACAGAATTATCCAGGATACTTCTGTGAATGTGGTTAACAAAACATCTACAAGCCCTAGTCTGAAATTTTGATTTGGTGCCAACCAACAAACCCTGGTTTGCTAGATGATCCTGCATTCTGATTGGATAATTAACTGAGGTTTGATCAAGCCATGGTTTACCTTGATGTCCGAATCTCAGGCGCTCCCAGAGTCGGAGGCGGGCCAGGCACGGTAACAGAGAAAGGGAAAAGGCAGAAACTCCCTGGAAAGTGGCAAGGTGGGAGGGCACCTGCCCTGAACAAGGTGCGTGTCTGAGGGAGAAATCCTGACACCTGCAAGACGTGGGGGACATGAGGCTCCTCCCTCCCACCACCGTGTGTGTGGTTCCCACAGGACAGCATCCTGCGAAACAGCCCCTGTTCGCCTGTGCAAGGAGTTCCAGTAGGCAGGGGAGATGCAACTGTGCTGATTCAGCATCTCCAGGAACCGCAGGAGGCAGGTCAGTGAAATAAACCGACCGGAGGGCAGAACACCTAGCTCTTGGTTAATTCCCTCCATCCACATGGAGGAAAATGGTACAAGCCCAGTTTCATTCACTCTTGGAAATTTCAGAGGAAAAGGATAACTTGTTTACAAAAATCTCTGTCCGCTTTTCAATAAACCACACAAAACCAGAAAATGTCTGTGCTATCTCTGGGTTTCTTTAGTGAGGAAGCATTTTGCCGGGGGCTTCCTTTCCCACCATGTTGCTGTTGTTCAGTCGCACAGTCGAGTCCGACTCTTCGCGACCCCATGAACAAGATCCCGCCAGGCCCTCCTGTCCTCCGCTGTCCTCTGAAGTTTGCTCAACTTCATGCTCGTTGCATCTATGACACTGTCCAACCATCTCATCCTTTGCCGTCCCTGTCTTCTTTGACCTTCAATCTTTCCCAGCATCAGGGTCTTCTCCAGTGAGTGCCACCACCATATTTCCCACCATATCTTGTGGCAAATACTGGCCCCTGCTGGTTGAATACGGCACTACAGCCAGCAGGTACAATTCTCAAGCATCTAAATCCTTAATCACCATTTTACACCATTAAAGAAAGTGTTCCTGAGCAACAAAGACCCATCTCCCTTCCTAGAAAGAGAGGGGCTTAAGATGAATAGAAAGCAATCATTTCCAAAGAAGAAAGCACCAATGTCGCGTGTTCCATACCCACCAGGAATCATAAATGTCCTAAATAAAGGCCACGTGTCCCCCAGAGAGACTTGTGCTCGGCCGATCAAGACCTGCTGGCTGTCCCCGGCCCAAGGGACATCTGCTTAGCCTCAGCCAGGGCTTCTTCCACCCTGGCCCTGGCCTGGTGGAATATGCTCTGGCTGGGATCAGAGCCCTGAGGGACTTATTACCACTCCGCAGGGCTTGTAAAACGGAGCTGTCTGGATGCAGCGGGCATCCAAAAAACCTGGCCTCCCCTGCTGAAGCTCACCATCTCTCTGCGGCCCACATCAAGAAGATGTCAGAGCCCCTGAGGTACCAGCTTGGAAACTCTGCATGTAAACAGATAGTGCAACCTGTTTTTTCAATCATGTAGTTTAAAACTGTTTTAATTATTTATCAATGTTGTATGTGATGTATTTTAGAACCTGTGTTCTGATCTGCCCTGAGCCCGCTTGCGGGGAGGGTGGCATATAAATTGAAATAAATAAAGAATTAAATAAATATGGTGCCTAAAGCAAATCACCAGTGGGATGGTGATAAAACATCAATAAATGTAAACCTAGGGGATAAGAAGGGAAGCACAGAAAGATAACTTTATAAATACAGTTAGCAGCTGAGAAAGAATTAAAACTGGAAAAGAATCAAATCTAGACTGTCAGCTCCACAGGTCAGGGAAGCTGTTCTTTAAAAAGGGTGACCGCACACACAGAATGTCCAGTGCCTCAAAGAATCCAAGTTCTGCGCTGTATAGCCAGGACTGAGATGGGTGGGACACTGGTAAAGGCACTGTAAACTGGAAGGCTTGGGGTGTACAATCCACCCCACCACCCCCCTGTCTGGGCGGGGGGGGGGGGGGGGCTTTGATAAGACTCCAGTAAACGCCTGCCTCTGGGGAGGATCCTGGTCAAACTTGCAAAACGTTCTATTTTATTAAATAGTAAAAACTGTGTTCTCTCTACATAGCAGTCTCTAGGAGAGACTGAAATTCGTGGGAAAACACACAAATCATGCCTCGCCCTACAAAAAAAAGGCATCTCCTAATCAGCACTCCACCATTAAGTTCTAAAAGTACTAAACTATTTCACTGAACACTCGAAAGAAAGATAATTCTGCAGTGCGCACCGGAACACTCCCTTTAGGGTCCCACATATTATGCTTACTCTGTATGTTGGTCTTAAGACCGTAATAATAAAACTAAACTAAACTCCCTTTAGGGGAGGGGGCAAAGTTACCAAAGTCTGCAGCCCCTACAAGTCACAGCTGTGGGAGACCACCAAATGAGAGCGTGGTTGCTCACAGAATTAGAATTCTGGAAGGCACATGATGCCATCACTCATGGATGGGAGGATACGGCACCCGTTGATCCCAGAAGTACCATACTGAGCCCCCAAACCGGGAGGTTGTCAAGCAGCATATGAAGGGTTGCCTGAGAATACAGCCCAATATTGTGATGAATGGGCTTTTCACCCTATTTGGTTCCAATACAACCTGTGGAGTGGGATGGGGCGAAGGCCCTTAAAAGCTGCGGCATGTTTGATTCACAGTGTTGCATTCGCTCAGTTTTCTGAAAGACGTTTTGAGGAGAAAGGGATTAAGGTTCTTTCTGTCCTTCCTGGTCCTGGAAAGAAAGTCTGGAAGAGCTTCAAAAAAAAAAAGTTCTGAGGTCAGTTTTACCACAGTCGGGGGATTTGCAGGATTCACTTTTTCAAAGTCAGGATGGGAATTACTGCCCCCAAAACGAATCCTTCTGAAGTGGGAGGTCACACTGGCTGCCCTTCGACGGTCCCTGTCAGCCTTTCTTCATTGGTCTGCTTGTGCAACTGCTGCATCCTCGCATACGAAATGGCGTCTCCCCTACAAAAATAAAGGGACACAGTATAGAAAAGTAGAAACCACAAGAAGAATGCTGTGTATAACCTGTTCACCTCAATTAATCTCCCTTATAAATAAAAGCCGAATGGTGGCGGCACTTCTCTAGAACATTCCACACGCTCCAAAATCAGTTTGCTCTCTGATCTGTCATTCAGAGGGACTCCCTATCCCAGTGGTGGTGAACCTATGGCACGGGTGCCAGAGGTGGCACTCAGAGCCCTCTCTGTGGGCACGCGTGCCATCGCCCCAGCCAGGCCCAGACCATCATTAAAGTGTCGATTCTCAGCCAAATATTTTAAGTAAATGAAAGCATTTGGGATTGCTTTCCTTACTTTGTTTGGATCATCTTAAGTTGAGTTGTTTTTTTCTATAGTAAAACCTCAGTATTCAGGTTAAATTGCCATGTTGGCACTTTGTGATAAATAAGTGGGTTTTGGGTCACAGTTTGGGCACTCGGTCTCTAAAAGGTTCGCCAACATTGCCCTATTCACTGGCTGCTTTGCCTGAGTCTCGCCTCCAACATTCTAAACATTTTGCTGTTCCTCTCCCCCCCATAGCTAGTCAGAACACAGAGGTTATTTGCATATGCAGCCTCATTGGCCTTTGCCTCGCAACACAGAGGTCGTTTGCATATGCGACTTGATTGGCTTTTGCCTCTAACATTCTAAACAGTTTGCTGTTCTGAGGTAAAATGTGTCCAATCTCCAGGTGAGGGCCGGAGATCACTCAGAATTACAACTGCTTTCCAGATGGCAAAGATCAGTTCCCTTGGAGAAAATGGTGGGCTCTGTATCCTTATAAGCTGCTGAGGTAGCCCCCATATGACAGCCAATGTGACGTAGCAGTCAGGGCTTCAGAGCACGGGAGAGGCTACAGGTGTGTGGGGGGTGGAAAGCTGAAGAGTGAGGGGAAAATAAAGGTAGGTTGATGATTGGCTGGGAAGGAGATAGGGTTGCCAACTCCAGGTGGGAAATTCCTGGAGATGGGAGGGGTTTCAGGAGCTGTGGGATCTCAGACAGGTACAAAGCCATAGACTCCACCCTCCAAACCAACTATTCCCTTCTGGGGAACCATCATTGCCAATCTCCAGGTGAGGGCTGGAGATCACTCAAAATTACAACTGTTCTTTAGGTAGCAGAGATCAGTTCCTCTGGAGAAAATGGTGGACTCAGTGTCATTATACCCTGCTGAGGTCACCACAGCAAATTGACACTGAGTATCCAAGGCCGGGACACCCGCCCAGATCCTCTTTCTAGAGGCCGTTGTATTTATTTCCACAACGGTCCTTTTTCCTAGTATACAATAAAGTTCGATTTTTACATTAAAAGTGTGTTATTGTATTTTTTATTACAACATCACAATCTTGCAACAACTTCCAGATTTGTTACCTATATTCCATATATTCACATAAATACACAAGCGGCAGGCAAAATACTCTGCATTCAATGATGCTTCAACTGTTTAACAATGTTGCTACAAAGAAATGAATCAAGTATCCAGGACCGGGACTGTCTTTGCCACAAAATTTCATTCCCTCCCATCACAGAATAGTTGACCTTCACTCATAGATTAATACTTGATCTTTGTATGTAGCAACATTGTTACACAGTTGAAGCATCACTGAATGCAGAGTATTTTGCTTGCCGCTTGTGTATTTATGTGAATATATGGAATATAGGTAACAAATCTGGAAGTTGTTGCAAGATTGTGATGTCGTAATAAGAAATACAATAATACACTTCAAATGTAAAAACTGAACTTTATTGTATATTAACTGAGGTGAACGACTTATACACAGTATTCACAGCACACAGGGGAGCGGTGGCACAGGGGATTTATCCTCTGGTTAATACGTCTGAGCTGAACAGAGCTGCTGTCAGTTCTAGCCCCGTGCTGGTGTGAGCTACCAGCCTTGTCCCCAGCTCGCCGTCCACCCAGCGGTTCGAAAGCTTCGGCGAGTAGATAAAATGGGTACCACTCCTTAGAGAGGGTGGGCACACTAAACCCCCCCTGGTGGGGGAGGTGTTAGCCGACGAATGGAATGTCCAGCACGTAAGACCAAACTCTTCGGCATGAAGGAAGCCTGTAATGGGCCGTCCGGCCAGGCGGTGGCAGTGCTGCGCTGCAACTTGAAGCAGTCCGGAGAAAAGCTGACGACATCAAGCCAGGCAGAGGGGAAAATGCCGTTGGAACACGTCTGACCTTACAGCTGAACAAAACTCCCCGTCAGCTGCGAACGTGTGTGATTTAAAGATTATATGTTGTCCTCCCTTGAATCATTGTTAGTCCCGTGTGTAATGGAGTAACTGTAAATCGCTCAGAGCCAGCAAGCTCTGCAGGATTGAGTGATTAATAAATTGAAAGATTTATTATTATTATTATTATTATTACTATCTTGTGGTCTCCCCTACAAAGGCAAAGGACAAGACACTGAGAGTGTGGAGGAGTGGGGAATCAAACCCAGTTCTCCCAGATTAGAGTCCGCGCTCCTAACCACTGCACCAAACTGGCTCTTCAGGGCCAGGGCTCTGAGGTTCTGTAGAGCAGGGGTCTGACTGGAGTCCACAAAACAGCCGGTTTGGAGTTGGCCACTGGGGGTGGAAAGTGCCATCATGCTGCAGGCATCTTACGGCCAACCCCAGAGGGTTTTCACAGCAAGAGACATTCAGAGGTGGTCTGCCACATGGCCTGCCTCTGCACAGCAGACCTGGTCTTCCTTGGTGGCCCTCCCATCCGAATACTAACTGAACACTGGCCCCGCTTAGCTTCTGAGATGACACTTGGCCTGCGCCATCCAGGTCAGGCCACTGAGTGCCTGTCAGTCGCTGGGTCTCTTGCAAAGAACGCCTGACTATGGAATCTGGTCTGATCCTGATGCTCTTCGTCTTCAGCAAGACTGCCGAGGATCATTTAGAGAGATTAGCTGTGCTTCCAATGTTCAGAGACACACACTCACTCCTTCTACAAACCATCGCTAAAATATCAGACCTGTAAAATGGACATCCAGGCTTAATGCTCTTTCCACACACACACACACGTGAATGCTCACACAAACATGAACACACACACACACACCCCATTTCACTGCAAAGGGTAAAGGGGCAGGGAAGTCAGCCTTCTCTTACTTTTTGCCCAGGGCCGAAAGTCCGTACAGCACACCTGTCGCAAACGCAATGGCATTGCCCAGCAAAGTTGTCAGAGTCAGGCTCAGTATGACTGGAAACACAGCCATCCTGGACAAAGAGAAGGAACAGATGAGACCCCCGGATGGCGCCCAGCTGAAGACACCATCCATACACAATGGCAGGGTGGGTCAAATATGCACTGTCCACAGACAATTTGCCCAGACGTTTACCTTATAAAAACCTTCCTGGCCCAAGAAATCAGGCAGGGATGATGATAATACCCAACTCGAATCAAATTTGTTTAAGAAAAAAGAATCAGGATGTAAAGTCCATCACAGTTCTTCTTTTTATTTTAAATATCTCATTGTCTTCCTAACAAACATACTCCAGGTAAGGTGCAGGGCAGTTTAAATAATAAACTACCCAATATAAAATGACAATTTAATACAAGAGTCTGAATTTATTATGCTACAGCAAGTATAGAGGGGGGAAACAATAGCAATACACATAAACAACATGTGAAGAATAAAATAAATCTGATTTTAAGACAACAGAAAACTGGACTAGCAGAGTAGCTAAGCACGGTCGGGCCCTCACCATCAAATGCAATGTTACTGGTCTACCTTAAAGGATTGTTGTAAGCCCTGTGCGCATCTTTGGAATTTTGACACAGGGTGAAGGACACAACAACAAAATGACTGCCACAAGAGGCAGAGCCAACCACACATTTGCTGCCCCGGGAGGCAGATCCACATGCATAGGGAAAGCCCAGAGGCCGGGGAGAGTGGACTGCCAACCTCCAGGTGGCTGAAGGACCACGCCTATTACATCTTGTTTCGTGTATAACTTTATCAAAGTGGGTAACACTGAAATACCTATATCTAATCACAAAAATAAATTCTATTATCAGTATTAGCAAAAGAGTGACAGAAGGCTGTACATACAACTGGCTGTTATATAATACTAGTTGCAAGGTTCGTTGCGGAAAGAGATGCAACGAGCTCTAGAGAGAGACTGCCCTGGCGAAGGAGAGCGCCGCGGCTCCCCGGCTCTGAGGGACGCACCCACCAGGTGCTGGAGTGGCGGCAATGGAGGGAGTCCTGGCAAGACCCATGGGCCGAAGCAGTCGCGTGGGTGCGGTGGCGCCCTGACCTGTTGCTGGCAGTGGTGGAGTGGCGACGAGTGGGGGAGTCCTTCTCGGGCCTGTGGCCCAAGCAAGCCGGCGCTGCCTCCCATCGGCTGTGGCACCACCATGTTCCCTTGTGGGGCCCATAGGCTGAGCAAGGCCGCGGCGCCACCGGCGCTTCCTGGCCTCCATGGCTTGCCGCCTCCCAGCGACTGCCCTACCTGGTGGTGGAGCGGCGGCGAGTGAGGGAGTCCTTCTTGGAGCTGCTGCCCAAGCAAGGCGGCGCTGGCTCCAGTCAGGCGCAGCACTGCCATGCCACCCTCTGGGGCTTGCATGCTGAGCAAGGGCACGGCGCTGCTAGGGCGGCGCCATTCTCTGCCCGCCGGAGCATCCTCCCATCCATCAGCTCTCAGCACACTGCGGCTGACAGGCTGGGCGGTGCTTCTGTGGGCGGGACGAAGGCAACGCAGCCAGTGGCCAGGGATCCCTTTCTGACTGGCAGCTGAGGGACCCAAAGGCTATGGGGGAGTGTGAAACGTTGAGGCAAGAGGGACATGAAAATTCATTTATATGTAAGGAGAGATACTTAACAATATTAATTCATTTGGCAAGCACACTAGTCATATCTCATAGTCACATTCATCCATTAATGTGATGTAAATATCACTCTTCCTACTCACTTATACATATCTAATTGCTGCCAGCCGGCTGTATGCCAGACCTGCGTCTTAAAGGGACAAAACCCATATGCAAAGGCAGAATGCCCTGAGGAGGAGAACAACCATATAAGGTTTTACAAGCTTTTACCATTTCAAAAATCTCAGTAATTACTGCCAGCATGACAAGTCATTTAACAAGACAAAACCATTTTACCAGGGACAAAATAGTTAAGGGGAGAAGAATACCATTTGAAAAACCACATCATTTTACATACAAGAAAACCATTGCTTTACGCCCATTATCAAAAGGAGGAAATACCAATAGAAAACCAACATGATTTTTCACCAGAGAAAACATTACGCTGCACAGAAATTAAACAAGCAAAAAAACCTTACAAAATGGATCTCAGCTGTGACTATGAGATATGACTAGTGTGCTTGCCAAATGAATTAATATTGTAAGTATATTATATAACAGCCAGTTGTCTGTACAGCCTTGTGTTACTCTTTTGCTAATACTAATAACAGAATTTATTTTTGTAATTAAATATAGAGATTTCAATGTTACCCACTTTGATAAAGTTATACACGAAACAAGATGTAATAGGCATCGTTCGTTGGTGTAGATGGCGTTTGAATTGCTTCCAGTAAACTGAATATTGGAAAAAGAATTTACAAGTCTGTGAAGAACTTTTTTTAGCACTATGCATCACGGTTCGTTTGCTTCCTTTCAACTTCCATCCCGTGATCTCTCTCTTTGGTTTGCAACCTCCAAGTGGCATCTGGAGACTTCCTGCGGCTATGACTGATCTCCAGATGACAGAGATCAGTTCCCCTGGAGAAAATGGCTGCTCTGAAGGGTGGACTCTGTGACATTTATATCCTGTGGAGGTCCCTCCCCTCCCCAGCCTCCACCCCCCAAATCTCCATGTAGTTCTCAACCCAGAACTGACAACCCTGTGGGGAGAAGAGGGGTGATTTTAAAACAGGCACTGGGAAAGAGGAGTGGGAGATGACAGAAATAATGTTGTGGTGGCAGTTGCCACGGAAATAACGTTTTAATCTGCACCCCCAATTAGATCTCCAAAGGCCAATCAGAAACCGTGCTGGGCAGAGCCCCACCTGGTCCCGCCCACTTTCTAAAAACTCCTGGCGGGCACCAGTAAACGGTGCCCACGGGCAACACCTTGGGGACCCCCTTGCTGTCAGGACCCCCCCTCGTTCTTTCAAGTTCCATCAAGGCCTTTGTTTGCACTCAGGAATCAGAACAAACCTCCCCTTGTCCTGAGCGACACAGCTCATGTCTGACTGAAAACTTCCTGGTTTGTGAAGCCTCGGGTCAGATTCCCATTGGCCACACCACTGCAAATGTAAACTCGACTTCCTTGATTTTGTGGGGAGGAAAACTCCGGTCTGCCAGTGAGGCGCCTTCCTGGCAGCGTCCCAGCAGACTGGAACTTTCAGTAATTGTGCTCTGCACATGTGAGGGGAAGAGGGGAAGGGAAGAGGGAGGGAAGCGTGGCTGGCTGGGACATCTGAAAGAGGCCTAAGTGCTGTTATTACTGAACTGCCGAGAACAATTAAACTCCTCGGTCTCTCTCAACAGCTGGCCTTTGCAGAACAGTGCCGGGGGTCCTTTGTCTAGATGACCCCAGAGGTCCCTTCCAACTCGACGATTCTATGAAAGGCCAGGGGTTTCTGCTGTCAGGGCTGCTGTGCTGCTCTTCTGACAACTTTTAAGATTTAATGCGTTTATTGTTTTGCTGTTTTTAGCTATTGCATATATGTACGGGGGTCCTTTGTCTAGATGACCCCAGAGGTCCCTTCCAACTCGACGATTCTATGAAAGGCCAGGGGTTTCCGCTGTCAGGGCTGCTGTGACAACTTTTAAGATTTAATGCGTTTATTGTTTTGCTGTTTTTAGCTACTGCATATATGTAAGCCGCCCTGAGCCTGCCCTGGCAGGGAGGGTGGGGTAGAAATCAAATCAAATAAATAAATAAAAACTTCGTAAAAGGCTGGTGTTTATGAAGTCCTTCGAACAGTCAAGAGGCGGAGAGAAGCGGCCCCCACCCCCTGGGCTCCCGCTCGGGATAAAGTCCCTCCCGGCAGGCACGCCCTTCCCCCAGGTGCTCAACCCTGCTCTCTGGCACACTCACTCACCCACAGTAGAAAAGGGCTTTCTGCCAGGGGCGGAGCTTATCTGCCCTTGCCGACACAGCATTTGCAAACTCGACAAACTGGCAGCAGAACGGTGCTTCGCAGAGGAAGAGAACGAAGGCATTCAACCTTTGGAACGAGAAAACCAGACTCAAAACCTGCACAAGGCCCATCCTTCCTGCCTCTACATCCACCCTTGTGGCCATTCAATTTCCCCAGCAATTAAGAACCGTCTCCCATAGGAACCCAGCCATGCGCGGCGGTCATCTTCGGAGGCCCCTCTGAGGTTAGATCGGGGGCAACTGGAAAGGGGGCCTTCTTAGTCGTGGCACCAAAACATTGGAGAGCCAGTTTGGTGTAGTGGTTAGGAGCGCGGACTCTAATCTGGGGGGACTGGGTTTAATTCCCAGCTGCTGGTGTGACCTTGGGTCAGAGCTGTTCTTTCAGGAGCAGTTCTTGAAAGAGCTCTCTCAGCCCCACCTACCTCACAGGGTGTCTGTTGTGGGGAGGGGAAGGAGATTGAAAGCTGCTCTGGGACTCCTTTGGGTAGTGAAGGGTGCGGTATAAATCCAATCTCTTCTTCTTCTTCAAAACATTGGAACTCTCTCCCCAGGGACTTTCGTCTGTCTCCCTCTATCAGCATCTTTCGCCAGCAGGTGAAGACTTTTTTGTCTTGAGAGCCAGTTTGGTGTAGTGGTTAGGTGCGCGGACTCTAATCTGGGAGAACCGGGTTTTATTCCCCACTCCTCCACTTGCACCCCACTCCTCCACTTGCACCACTTGGGCAAGCCATAGTTCTGATAAGAGCTGTCCTTGAAAAAGAGCAGTTTCTGTCAAGAGCTCTCTCAGCCCCACCTACCTCACAGGGTGTCTGTTGTGGGGAGGGGGAGGGAAAGGAGTTTGTAAGCCGCTCTGAGACACCTTTGGGTAGTGAAGAGCGGGGTATAAATCCAGTCTCTTCTCTTCGTCTTCTTCTTTGTTTCATCTGGCATACCCACAATAACTCACTGGCCTTCCTTCTGGTTGTTTACAATTTTTTTAACTGAATTATTAAATCTATTTTTAATTGTTCAAATATTTTAATTTTTTTATGTTCACCACCTTGTGGACCCTGATTGTGTCTCCTCTGCCTTGAGCAGGGATGAACGTAGTCCTAAAATTCCATTATGAATCGCTCAGGATAGCCCAATCTTGACAGATCTTGGAAGCTAAACACGGTCAGCCCTGAGTTACGACTTGGATGCAAGACGTCCAAAGAAGTCCAGGGGCACTACACAGAGGCAGGCAATGGCAGACCACCTCTGAATGGCTCTTTCCTTGAAAACCCCTCTGGAGTTGCCATAAGTCAGCCATGTCTTGATGGCAAAAAAGATGAAAGCTGACCGAATAGCCCTGGAAGTTAAGCAGAAGAAGAAGAGAAGAGGAGACTGGATTTATACCCTGCCCTTCACTCGGAGTCTCAGAGTGGGTTACAAACTCCTTTCCCTTCCCCTCCCCACAACAGACACCTTGTGAGGTGGGTGGGGCTGAGAGAGCTCGTTCAAGGACTCAGGGACAGCTCTTGTCAGAACTACGGCTTGCCCAAGGTCACATCAGCAGGTGCAAGTGGAGGAGTGGGGAATCAAACCCGGTTCTCCCAGATGAGAGTCCGCGCACTTAACCACGACACCAAGCAAGGTTGGCCCTGGTTAGCACTTGGATGGGAAACCTCCAAGGAAGATCCAGGGTTGTGATGCAGAGGAAGGCCATGGCAAACCACCTCTGCTTGTCTCTTGCCTTGAAAACCCCAAGGGGGGGGGGGCACCATATGCCGGCTGCGACTTGATGGAACTTTTCACCACCCCCTGCTTGCTGCTGCCCCTTCTGCTCACTGGATACCTGATTTCCAGGGCCTTTGCAACTATACCCCCCCCAAAAAAAAAAAGATTTCAACAGCCAGCCAAATCAAGAAAAGAGAAAATAAAACAAGGCCAAACCATGGAGAAAAAGTGTATCCCTTCGAGCAAAAAACCTGAAGAAGGCCAAGGGCAAGTGGTGGTTCTACCAATTGGTCCGAAAACTCAAGCCACTCACTCAGTCGCTGGGCATCAAAAGGACTACGTGGGCTTTCGCAGGAAGCTTCGTCAGCCCTTAAGCAGATCAGACAAGGAAAGCCCTGCTGGGTTGGACCAGGGGTCCAGAGCGGCCAGCATCCTGTCTCCCACAGCAGCCTAGCTAGGCCAAAAACTCCCCCCCCTCGCTGTTGCCCCCAGAGGCATGTCTTCCTCTGAAAATGGGGGGAGGGACCTTTAATATTTAATTCAGACAATGAAGAAAATGGCCGTGATATATAATGAAAATATATATTTAGACTGCTGTGTTGCAGTATTTCATCAACAAGTAGTCAAGATGTACACATCCACACTAATGGAATTTACATATACTCTAAATATGTATTTTCATTATACACCACGGCTGTTTTCTTCATTGTTTGCATCCTACCCGTGATCTCTCTGGTGTTTCTACACAATATTTAATTCAGAGCAGAGCTAGGGGTGGGAGGGAGTGGGCAAGAGGGGGAGGAGTGCTGGGGAAACGTGGCCAATGGGCAATCTTGCCTCCAACCGGCTTGCCTCCAATCGGCCCCTGAAAACACCCACCTTTTCCCGCCACTCAAGCAGACCCATGTTTGCTTGTTTCACATGCACCACACTGGTCCGCCACCCTCAAGATCAAGAGAGCAAAGGAAACGCAGCAAGGGGACCCCCAGTTACTTACATCATCCAAACTCCAGCTGCTATGTTGAGAGGATGGACGGTGATGCAGTTGAAGAGGCCGGCTAAGGCACAGGCTGAAGTGGGGAAAAGAGAGAGAGAGGGGTAGTCGGAGGAAGGGCAACTTCGCACGGGCACAGGATTGAGCAGCTGGCCAAGATCAGGACATGCTAATCAAATTCACACTGTGTTCCCGGACTTCCCACTACTATGTGTATTACGCAACCTGTACACGTTAGCCAAGTTGGTCCCATCTCCTGCACGTCTTAGCATTTTTCAGAATTGATTCTGCTTTGGCCCGTTCCAGAGCCACAGGCTGGGCAGCTGTAAGGAGCCCTCGCAAAACTTCCTCAGTATCTCCAGGGGCTCCTGGGACTTCACCAGATCTTTAGCACCCACACGCCTTGAAGCAGATCCCTGCAGCCATCAGGACTAGAAACTTGTTGTTCTTAAGGTGAAAGCAAAGAACGTCGGGAAGTTGGATTCTGTGCCCTGTATTATATTCTGTGCCCCTGCCAAATTACAGCATGCATCCAGCCCAAGTCTTGGGCAATGAACTCAGCTCAGCCGACATGAGGCAGGTTGAGAGCTAATACAGTAAGACAGAGTACACTGGGGAGACCTGGGTTCGAATGCTACTCAAAGTCAAACCAGATGAGATACTGCAAAATATGGAGAAAGTCTGTGTATGGCTCCCTGGCATGTTTCTTCTTGGCAAATGTAAGCCACAATGTCACCTAATTTGGATCAGGTCCACAGTTTTTAAATGTATTTTAACTTTTAATGTAGGCCGCCCTGAGCCTGCCTTGGTGGGGAGGGCGGGATATATAAATAAAAATAAAGACATTTCTCACCCTCCCCTCCTCATGCCTGATCTCTGTCGCAGGAGGAGCTATTTGCCCTGTCGGGAGGGGACTAGGAGCAAACCACCTCTTCCAACAGAGAAAAGCTTCTAAGCCAAATGCCCCCCCAGAGGTTTACTCACAGAGGACAATCAAACTAGAGTCTAGACACCAGATGCTGTTTTCAAGCCTCCCCTAAAATGACACAGGGTCTCTCACACCCCCACTGTAGGCAAGCCCGTAGCTACACTGAAGCATTTCAGGACATTTCAGGGCCCGGCCCCCCAACTTCCATCTAGCCCAGGCCCACCACTGCCGCTCCTTCCTCAAGCACGGCTTGCTTCTCCACTGCTGCTGCTGCCCCCTTTCCCAAGCGAGTAAATGTGCGGGCCAGGTTGCGGCCTGAGAGGTTGAATTTCTGGCCACAATGAGGCCAGCGTTTGTGTCTGGGGCTTGCCGGCTGGCCGCAGCACTCCCAGGGCTTCGCTGGTGGGGCAGGATTGCTCAAGATGTGCACAAACCCATCTCGACCAAAAGCCAGCGAGGTGCGTTCACGCCAGCCCGGGTGAGGCGAGGCTGTTTCGTTTTGTTCTACCGAGGCGAGCCGAGAAGGCCTTTTTCGTTTTCCCACAGGCTCAGGCAAGTGCAGGGTTTGACCCGAGCCCTGCAGTGTGATCCGGGGAGGGGGGGGGAGAAGGGGGACGATGTCTGTTTGTATCCTGGTCTCCATTCAGGAACAGAGAAAACTTGGTCGCCTGTCGCTCCTCCATCTGAACAGGGCTAGGGATCGCAGGCCGTCGCTCCAAGAGGGAGAATGAGGATTTTGGCGTTGGAATGACCTGACCCGTCGAGGAATTTGGGGAGCAGGGGGAAAACTAATTCAGTGTTTGGGTCCCTTTTCTCGCAGAGGCACACACCACGGATCGGGCCCCTCGGCACCCACATCCAGCCTCTTCACCTCCCAGCGTGAAAGTGTTGCTTGGATCTCGCCCCCCCCCCCAAATTCCCAGCCAGGAACAGAAGTTGTTTCACACTGGGGTGGCGGCGTGGGGGGGGGACCATCTGGAGCCAGTGGCTTTGCTCCTTCCCTGTAAAAAGTCCCAGCCCCGGCGGTGGTGAGACCCATCAGGACTCCAGTGGGCTGGGGGAAAGGCTGCAAAGGGAAAGCGAGGCTCCGCCGCAGAGGGAGCAGAAGAAGCCGAAGGCAGGACAGGGCTGTGGGGGCTTGCTGGTCCTTCTGCCTCCCTCCCTGCAGGACCAGGCCAACCAGCGCCAGGCTGCTGCACTCAGAGCCGTCTCGCATGCCCGAGTGCTTGGGAACAGTGTTCCCTCTAAGCTGAGTTAGTGTGAGCTAACCCACAGATTTTTTGCCTCTGGCTCATACATTTCTGTCCTCGCTCAGGAAGGATGGCTCCAGAGCAAACTCACTTATGCAGGAGCCAAATCGCTCGCTCACCACTTTAATGGCAGTAGCTCACAAAGTAGAATTTTCGCTCACGAGACTCCACAGCTTAAAGGGAACACTGCTTGGGAACTGCTTCCATTCACATTTACTTAGGAGAATTTAGCAGTCGCTTTGACTCCGAGCGGTTTACAGGTGCTTTAACTGGCGAGCCTGAGGGTTTTTTTAATTTTATTTTTTCTGTGATGTCAGTGCCCCCTGACTTATTTAAAGGCCCCCTGAATCAAAAAATCCTGGCTACGGGCCTTGCACACGGAAGCTTATACCCAGAACTGAACTTTGTTGGTCTCAAATGTTGTTCTTCTCCCAGAAAGACTGTCAGCCTAACTTCTGCCCCTGCTCCTATGCCATGAAAAGCAGACAATCCACAGAAATCTAGCAAGTAAAACTTTCCTCAATAGGGAGATCAAGGTAAGTGTGCCCATCTTGGGCTACTGTTGGAGGCACAGCAGCCAGGCCAGTTCACAAATGCCCAGCCCTGGCAATGCTGTGTTGTGCAGCCCCCAAACCCCCCTCCGCCGTGGGATCTGGAATGGAACGGAAGGTGCTTGCTAACAGTTTTGCTCCAAGCCAGGCCCTCATGAAACTTGCACAGGCTCTCCTGCATCCGATACTCGCTCCGTTCCCTTTCGATTAGCCAGCAGGTAACTTTATCCACTAGCAGAGAGGCGGCCGTGGGCAGGGTTTGCAAGAGCCTCGTCTGCTGAATGCACAAAGATGCACCACCACCACCACCCCAAAACAAAAACCATCACCGGGGGGGGGCATGGGAGACTCCCCCCCCCAGGCTCCTCCCTGAAACTACATGCATGGTTGCTGGGCAGGGGGCAGGCAATCGGCACCAGTTTGGGGCTGGGTCCTGAGGCTTCAGCTGCAGCCCCTCCTCTGCTAGCCAGGCCCAGTTTGGTCTTGGGCACGTTGCTCAGGCCCAGGGGAGGAACCTTCTGCTCATGTGGGGGCCAGTTCTTGCCAAGTCCGGGCACTGGAACAAAAGGCAAAGTATTCCAGGACTGAAACGGGCTTCTGGTCTAGCTTCACTAGGCTTAGAAAACACAGACGTTCACAGTGGACACTGCCAATGTCTTAAGCTGGAGGAAGCAGAGGTGATTATCCGCCCTGGGTTGGGACGGCCTCCCATGCCCAGGAGGGAAACGTGTCTGAACATGGCATTCTTGTGTCAAGTTCTCCCCTCCCAGATGCAAAAGCCCCGCTCCCCGTGTCAGGACAGCAGCAGAGCAGAAGCCCCCCCCCAAAAGAAATGCCCCTGGCTGCTGATGGGGAAGAAACGCAACACATCCAGCTGGACGAAGAGTTCTGCAGGATGCCCCCATGAAACTGGAGCAAGAGAACAAAGTCTGAGTTCAGGGGCACCTTGAAGACCAACCAAGGTCAATTCTGGGCAGAAGCTTCCATGTTGCCTCTGCCCTTTGTCCCACGACGCTGTGACCTTTTGAGTGGACTAAATGCAGCTGGGTATAGAGTGGATTGCCCTGATCCGAATGGCCCAGGATGGCCCGCTCTCAGCAGGCCTCAGAAGATAAGCAGAGTTGACCCTGGCTAGCACTTGGGTGGGAGGCCACCCAGGGAATCCACAGAGGCAGGCAATGGCAGGCCACCTCTGAATAAGAACATAAGAACATAAGAGACGCCAATGTCGGATCAGGCCAAAGGCCCATCCAGTCCAACACTCTGTGTCACACAGTGGCCAGAAATACCAGGTGCCATCAGGAGGTCCACCAGTGGGGCCTCTTGCCTTGAAATCTGGAGCGCTCAGGAGGGTCGGCCCTGGTTAGTATTTGGTTGGGGGAGCACCAAGGAGTTCCAGGGTTATGACGCAGAGGCAGGCGATGGCAAACCACCTCTGTTCGAGTCGTGCCTTGAAAAAACCCCTGGGGGTTCCCCATAAGTCGACTGCCACTTGAGGGCACTTTCCACACACACACACACATATCACACAGATGTTGTTTCTATTATACACACACGACAAGGGTTGCCTCCAGTGTTCCCTCTAAGCTGAGTTAGTGTGAGCTAGCCCACAGTTTTTTAGCCTCCGTCTCACACATTATTGTCTTAGCTCAGGAAGGAGGGCTCCAGAGCAAACTAACATATGCAGCAGCCAAATCGCTCGCTCACAACTTCAATGCCGGTAGCTCACAAAGTAGAATTTTTGCTCACAGGGCTCCGTAGCTTAGAGGGAACATTGGTTGCCTCAGCTCTTCACACAGGGCCAACCGCCCTCCTCCTCCTTGCTTGGGGTCAACCTAGGCACGGTGATCTTGTTTGACCCCCACATGGCTGCCTTGGTCTTCCCTTTAGAACAGGAAGTGTCCAGAAGAGGGAAACTGATCCTTCTTCCCAAATCCTCCTGGCACATTACATACGTAGTCTTTATTTAAGTATTTAAACCCTGTTTTTCTCCCCAGTGAGGATCCCAAGTAGCTTACAATCCTCTGACCCCTCCCCATTTTACCTTTATAACACCCACTCTCTGAAGTAGATCTGACCAGCCTGATGTCACCCAACCAGCTTCCGTGGCAGAGCAAAGATTCAAATCTGGATCTCCCAGATCCTAGCCTGACATTCGAACCGCTACACCACCCTGGCTTTGGAGCTCTTCTCTGCAGTGTAGCTTTGCTCCAGGATCAGAAATGTGCCGGAAGCAGACGTGAGGGTCGGCTTGTCTCCCCCCCGGTTGGGGGGGGGCTTAAAAATTAGGCTCTCCTCTCCACCTTCTGCTATATTTCTCGAAGAGAACAAAGATGAAAACAACTGT